GCAAGTTCTGGAAGAATCCCCGGTTGTCACGGGATTCGATAATTGTGGTACTGATCCGGAACCTGAGATCGTCAACGAAGGCAAGCCCCGGTTTATGCATTAAACCATTACCTTGTTTACTTTGAAAAGTTTATCACCTATGTTACTTATTGCATTAAGTTGATTTATTCAAATGTTACCTACTTGATGCATTGCCTACCTTGTTAATTGTTTACCATCCTTGAAGATGATTTCATTTACAAAGGCGTAGAATTGCTTAGTATACTTTGTGGTAGGCTTTCAAAGTAAAAGTTTGGATACAATCAAGGATGGCATACTGGCCAAAGAAAGAAAGAAAGAAGATATAATGAACTAGAGACTAGTCGGGTGGCTTATTTTGAATGTTGGGTAATGTTGCCGACTATGTCGCTTAAAGGCCACTCATTGTGGATCTTCTGAACGAGACACTTTGTAGTACTGGTCACATACTCCGGTAAGCCTACTTCGACTAATCCGATACTAAGACGAATGCCCACGCACTGGGAGTGGTGAGATGGCGGGAGTAGCGTGTACCCTCGTGGCTTGAATGTGGCCGGATTTGAGGTGTGCTTTGCTCTCGGGTGGCGTGGAGACGGCTTAGTATAGGAGGATCTGGTAGTGAGGTTGATATATGCAAGATTAAGTTCTACATATGTCGTGTGATAAGGAATCCCTAGCTGGGACTTGAATCAATTCGAATTGCCGGTGCTCCACGGATATGGAGACTCGATTCATTACAAAAGCAATGCAGGACTGGTGAATTACTAAAACATGAGAAAAAGAATGGAATGAGAAGGATTGGAACATGGGATATGAACACTTAGTTGGAGATATTGAACTAAAGTACTTAGGGGTAAAACTTGAAACTAGGATCAAGAATAGTAAGCTTTTGGCAAAGAACTTTTGAATCTTTCTACATCCTTACCTTGATCCAACACCTGCATCCCTAAGACCTTCGTCCTTTTTGGTTGGGTCAGTCTTGTTGAGTACTTTTGTACTCAGGGTTTGTTAACCCTTGTTGCAGGTGAGTCGCATGCGCAGGCTTGTTTTGGTCCCTGCTGCATGTCAGTGTTTGAAGTCGATGACAATGAGGAATGATGAATGGCCTTTGGACAAGGCACTAGTTTGTGTAAAATAAATAATGTTAATGTAATATTATCCTGCTACTATGGTTGTATGACACTTATGGTTTTGTAAGTTTGAAACAACTGGTTTGTAATATTAAAACTTAAGTCTTCCGCTTTATAATCTCTGGTATGTATATTGAAAACTGTTGTAATCTGCAATGACAGTGATTGGGATCCTGTTTGGAAAAGATTCGTGGATGATTCGGGTTTCCCGAGGACACCTGACAGACCTGTTAAGTTGTTGGGAACTTGTGTACGCTATCTGAGGTCTGTTGAGACATCGATGGGTGCACGTGGGCCCGATTTCTTAGGAGGTTCTGCCACAGCAGGCGCAGGAACGAGAACCCCGCGGCCGCGTCAATGGTGGTGACGGGCCCTCGAAACCAAAACCGGGCGTGGAGCACCCACGCATCGAGGCTGAGCAGCAGCCCGCCTCCGACGGCCAGTGGCGTGTAGTTGAAGTTTACCCCGGCGACAGGGTACGCCACTGGCAAGCAGAACAGCACGGTGACAACGGCCACCCAGAGGACGGCGACCCAGCTGACGACAAGGCTGTAGCGTCTGAGATGAAACGGCCCTGGGACAAACGAGTTCCGCGTCGTCATCACGCGGAAGAAGATGGGCAGGGCGTAGGCGATGTACATGCCCAGCGTCGTGATGGACACCATTGCCTGGAACGCCACCTGGCTCCCCAGCGACTGCCACGACATGCATGCGAGCGTCGTGATGGCCAGAGCGTGTGAGCGATCGAGACGGCGACGGGGGATGTTGTTGTGGCTGGTTCGGCAGCTCCGTGCCAGAGGCGGACGTCCACCGCTTCGACGACGACATGGCCGCGCGACGCGATGGCCAAGCCAGCTAGCGGTCGAGAGCGAGGCCCACTTTGGAACCTTATATCTCTCTAACCAGGCCGAATTAGACTTTGGCACTTTAAGCAAAGTTAGAGATCTCGCGTAGCTCTACAACATTTGTTACTACCTCTTGTGCCAAAACTAAACGGATTCTGAGTTAAGAGGGGACAAAGATTGATGTTTCCATGTATTTTTGCGGTAGTATTGGTTACTTCCTTCAGGATTGAGAAACGAATGGCGTCGTGGCCGACCACAGGCAGGAGAGCGACGCCGCGTGGCTCCTCTGTGCTGCCCTCGCTTGCCACCTCGCCCCCCGTGTGCATGAATACAGAGACCGGCACCCTCCTCACTCACGCTCGCTTCCTCTGGCCTCCCTCGCTTTCCCAGCACTCTCGCTCGCCCTAGGCTTGCTCCATCGTCGAGGCCGTGGCCGACAACAAAAGCTTCGTCAACGCGCCGGTCGGCAGCGACGACTTCGTCGAGCCGAGCGCCGCGCGCAAGCACCTGCTGCCGGTGCGGGACGTCCGCGCGGAAACCGAGCCTCAGGAGTCGGCTGGGAGCAACAGCGTCTCTGGCCACCCGTGGACGCCCTCCTGGGAGCCCACCTCGCTCAAGTCCTCGGACCGGATGTGGAGCACCGGCAGCCGAGGCTTTGACGTGGTGCAGTCTGGCCGCAGCCCGTCTGCCGCAGCCTGCGCCGCCGGGGTGCCGCCGGCAAATGCGGTCAGGAGCATGAGCACCCCGTCGCGCGCATGCGTGCTCGACGGACGCCGCGCCGGAGCCGGACTCGAGCGCGCGGGGATGCCCAGGAGGAGGATGGCGGCGCCCGTGCATGTTGCTGGTTCAGTGGCGCGCGTCGCGGCCGCCGGCGCCAACCAAGCCTCGAGCACTCCGTACCTCGCCTGCGTGGCCGCGGCGGGCTTGTTCGCGCGCCCGCAGCAGCGGCGGCGGCACCTGCTCGCGCGGCCACAGAATGTCAACAGTGGTTTTAGAAGGACAGGTCAGCCGGCCACGTCAGCAAGAGAAGCTTATGTATAGCGATATGGACCTAAGTAATACACATACTAGGTTTATGGACCCAAAAAGCGACTTTGAAAGTTGATGGACCTAACTGAAACCTCCTTATAAGTTAATGGATTTCTGGTGCATTTAACTCTATATTTAATAAGCTGTCACATAAACATTTTTGATGACGTGGCAATGTTTTTAATGTAAGAGAGAGCGAAAGAAGAAATTCGTTTCACGGTATGGAACTATCATGCTCCGTTACCAACTCAAGATGACTCGTAGAATTAAAATGTCTATATGAAATAAGTGAATGAAACTATGCAATGATAATGATGGTTTAACTCTTCGCTGAGAATATCCTAAAACAAAGGAAAAATAAATTAACTATGTTGGAGATTATACAATGTACTGCATTGTGCCAGGCGAAGCTAGACATGCACCTTGGCTTCGAGCGTGTGTCGTCTATATATACCCGTACCAACTGGCTCCGTATATGTTTTCTTGTGGTTCTCGAGTGCTACAGCTGAGTGGTGAGAGTGACCAAGCGTCCCTCCGTCCGGCTCGGTCCGCGCGGCCATGGCGAGCACTAAGGCGAAGCTGCAGCTGCAGGAGAGGGTCCGGCTCCCCCGCACAGCAGCGTGGAAGCTGGCTGACCTCGCCGTTCTCTTCCTGCTCCTGGCCCTCCTCGCTCGCCGTGCGTCCTCGCTGGTGGCGGCGGGCTGCGCGGCGCCGGCGTGCACGTGGTGCTGGGTCGCCGCGCTCATCTGCGAGGCGTGGTTCACGGTGGTGTGGCTCATCAACATAAACGCCAAGTGGAACCCGGTCCGGTTCAACACGCACCCTGAACGCCTAGCCCAACGGTACGCTAAGTGGTGGCTAGCTAGTAGCTACACTAGGCTTCCAGGAAAACGTACGCTAGTACGTAGCTTTTTTTTTTTTTGCTTAGTCAACTCAATCTACTGCGTTGTTTGCCGTCAGGACGAGCGACGACGAGCTGCCGGCGGTGGACATGTTCGTGACGACGGCGGACCCGAAGCTGGAGCCGCCGCTGGTGACGGTGAACACGGTGCTGGCGCTGGACTATCCCGCGGGGAAGCTCTCGTGCTACGTCTCCGACGACGGGTGCTCGGCGGTGACCTGCTACGCGCTGCGCGAGGCCGCCGAGTTCGCCAAGCTCTGGGTGCCCTTCTGCGAGAAGCACAGCGTCAAGGTCAGGGCCCCCTTCGTGTACTTCTCCGGCGGCGCGGCGGAGCGTGGTGGGGCCGCCGACGACGCCAAGTTCTTGCGCGCTTGGACACTGGTGAAGGTAAAGCTAAAGCTAGCTACTGTTTTTTTTTCTTTTTCTGCAGTCACTAACATCGTGTTGCATGTAGAACGCGTATGAGGAGTTGGTCCGCCGGATTGAGAACGGCGAAGAGGACTCTCTAGTCCGGCACGGCGACGGCTTGTTCGCCGAGTTCGTGGGCGCTGAGCGCAGGAACCACCCGACCATAATCAAGGTAGAAACCAACTGATCACGCCTCATCATGGCAAAATACTATACTCGTGAAACGAGTGCCCATCTCATTGCTTTGTTTTCTTGCTAACAAACATGGACACGTTCTTCTGCTGCCGCGAGTGTTCAGGTCCTGTGGGACAACAGCAGCAAGATCAATAGCAAGAGCGAGAACAATCAGGAGGCAGACGATGCAATCCCAAGCCTCATATACGTCTCCAGGGAAAAGAGACCCACACAGCACCATCACTTCAAGGCCGGGGCCATGAACGTCCTGGTACGTCGTCGTCGGTGTTTAGTCCCATCTAATGGCAGTCCAGTAGCAAGAATTACAGGAAGTTCAGGCTCTCTAGAGGCGTGCCGCATATTGCCATCCATGGGTGGCAACGCCATGGCATGGCATCATCAGGATAAGCTCACTAACGAGTGATTGAGTGGTGAGGCCGGTGTCTCCAGAACCTGAACATTCGTCCCATGTGGCATGTGGCCTGTGCTGTGCAGACGAGGGTGTCCGCGGTGGTGACCAACGCTCCCATCACGCTGAACGTGGACTGCGACATGTTCGCGAACAACCCGCAGGTGGCCCTCCACGCCATGTGCCTCCTCCTCGGATTCGACGACGAGCTCCACAGCGGCTTCGTTCAGGCGCCGCAGAAGTTCTACGGCGGCCTCAAGGACGATCCTTTCGGCAACCAGATGCAGGTTATATACGAGGTACTACAGTCGTACAGATCACACTATCATTATCATATGATGAGTAGTAGTACTCGATCACTAAGAGTAACACTGTAGTGTTTGTTATTATTATATATATAAGTACTACTCAAAACAACAAGCGATTGATGTTATTAGCTTATCTATATCCACAATTTTGTCGTCTGTGCTGTGAGCTTACGTAGAAAGTTGGGCTTGGAGAAGCCGGACTTCAAGGCATATTTTACGGCGGGACAGGGTGCTTTCACCGTAGGAAAGTCATCTACGGCGTGCCACCAGACTCCACCACCACCATCGGCATCAAAGGTGAAAATCTCGGGGGGAAACCTGTAGAAAACCATGACTGCTCCCCGGTGTATTCTGATTCAGTCCCACGCATTTAACTACTACATACTCTGGCAGATTCACCATCTTACAAGGAGCTGCAGAAGAAGTTTGGCAGCTCGAAAGAACTGATCGAGTCGGCGAGGAGCTAGCATCATTTCTGGGGACATGTTCAAGGTGCCAATGGTGGTGGCAGACGACCTAACGAGTCGCGTCGAAGTGGCGAAACAAGTTTCTGCCTGCACCTACGAGGCTGGCACGAGATGGGGTCAGGAGGTATCCATACATTCTACTACTGATGTCCTTCACTTCACAGCATCTTCTTCCAGGTTTTGCTGCAACAGCGTGGTCATACATGCATGTTCTTTCCATTGCAGGTTGGCTGGGTGTACGGGTCGATGACCGAGGACATCCTGACCGGGCAGCGAATCCACGCCGCCGGCTGGAGGACGGCGTTGTTGAACCCCGACCTGCCGGCATTCCTCGGCGGCGCGCCCACCGGCGGACCGGGCAGCCTCACCCAGTACAAGAGGTGGGCCACGGGCCTGCTGGGATACTCCTCAGCCGCCATAACCCATTCCTTCTCGCCGCGTTCAAGCACCTCGATTTCCGGCAGTGCGTCGCCTACCTATTCATCGACGTGTGGGCCATCAGGGCACCCTTTGAGCTGTGCTACGCGTTGCTCGGACCTTACTGCATCATCGCAAACCACTCCTTCCTGCCAAAGGTACGGTAAAATCGATCTTTCTGCCATCAGTACAATGTACAATTTATTTCTGGTGAAGCCTTCCCTGGAATTCTCATCTTGTTGTGAATTGTGAATTGTGATGCAGGCGTCAGAGCCGGGTTTCGTCATCCCGTTGGCGCTGTTCCTAGCCTACAACGCGTACAACCTGGGCGAGTACAAGGACTGCCGGCTATCGGCGCGCGCCTGGTGGAACAACCACAGGATGCAGCGGATCGTGTCGTCGTCCGCCTGGCTGCTCGCGTTCCTCACCGTGGTCCTCAAGACGGTCGGCCTCTCGGAGACGGTGTTCGAGGTGACGCGCAAGGAGCAGCAGAGTTCGTCCGACGGAGACGCTGGCGATGGCGCGGACGACGCCGATCTGGGGCGGTTCACCTTCGACTCGTCGCCGGTGTTCGTCCCGCCAACGGCGCTCGCGATGCTGAGCATCGTCGCCGTCGCCGTCGGAGCGTGGAGGGTGGTCGCCGGTGCGGTGCCCGCCGCCGGTGGCCCGGGCGCCGGGGAGCTCGTGTGCTGTGGATGGCTGGTGCTCTGCTTCTGGCCGTTCGTGAGGGGGCTCGTCGGCAGGGGAAGCTACGGCATCCCCTGGAGCGTCAGGCTCAAGGCTGCCCTGCTCGTGGCCGCGTTCGTGCACTTGTCCACACGGAAGTTACTTTCACCGGCGTCAGAATATGCAATGGTTGATGTGACGGGAATCAATTAATCATCTAGGAAACACGTACAAATCTCATTAGATCATTAATTATATGAGAAATTTTACGATGGTCGGAAAAACATGGGTCATTGGTTGGGTGAGATCGGATGATGGAAAAATAGAAGATACTCAACTGAAAATACCTAGAGGTACCAAACAAGTGGGGTTAGTACTAAATTAGGTGGGGCTATTACTAAAATATGTGTGACAAGATCTATTTTTATTGTATATTTTATTTTCGAATAAAAGTAAATCCGTCATTTTAGTCCTTTTCTTCCTCTCCGTCTCTTGGACCATGATCTTCTCTCACCCGTCGAAGCTCTGACCATGGAAAGTGTCACGCGCGTGCTATCTCTCGCTGGATGGCCACGGCCACTAGCAGCCGCACCTGCTCGGTCGATTACGTGCTATTCCCAGCGCCTCCCAAGCCGATGCTGTCCTTGCTCCTCTTCCCTATGCAGCCGGCAGCAGAAGCTGTGCCACCAGGCGAGCAGGCCGCTGGCCGCCGTGCGCTTGGCCTGATAGCAGCTGTGCCGTCGGGGCAGGCTGTCCTCAGCTGCACCATAGTTGTAACCGTCACAGGTGCCGTGATTAGTAGCGACATGAACACAAGCACCTCCTTTACTCGTGTATGGCGGCGGCGGCCCAAACACACTGGATGCCCGAGGTCTTCAGTGCGGGATCGATGGAGATGCGCAACTGAACGGTGGCACCGGCGGGGGGTTGGAAGTGCCCTATTAAACTTGGGCCGGCAGCGGGGGAATGTCAAGTTTAAGACGGACACAACCTCAATTACTAACATACCCTCTGCAATATATTTCTCAATTAATTACCATCTGGAGGTACTTAGAAAATAGAAAAGGACGAAAGAACCTGGAGGTACCGAGTTCTTTTCCCAAACATCGTAAAAGATCTATAATTATATTGTCATCGATACGTCAAAACCCACTTATGGGCTTAGATGCACTTTCAAAGGCGATTGGCATCTGGCTAGCCTCATCGCCGCCCTAGACCTACGAACCAGTCTGTGATTTCGTGATCCCTACTGCTACGACTACCGGCGGATATTAGGATAATTGCATAGTCTAGATTCTTGTACCACGAATTGTACTTCACTTTTACGACAGCTGTATTCTCCCTGTACATGACTATACATATGAAAGATACCCTCACGACAGGTGTGTGATGATTCCTCCAGTAACTTTCTATAGTAACGTAAACGGAAAATCAAAAGCTGCCTGATTACTAGAGGTGCTTGGAGACAAACGGGGCACTAGAGCCTCGCTATCGCCGTCCTTGCTGGGTGCGTGGGCTTCCTCTGCGCGTTCGTGACTGGCGACGAAGGCGGGGTGTGGGAGGGACGGACGGACTGTGGCGCTATGGACGAGGGTCGCCATGAGACGCCTCTCGAGCTGAGAAGAAACGACGAATTGAAGACGATGGGTGCGGGGTGCCGTGCTGGACTATCCGGGTCCCGTGCTACCTGATTACGTAAGGATGGGAGGGGTATCCATTTTGTATAATATGGTATCCGATTATTATATGGGATGTGATTGTGGCTGACGCGGAAACAAACACGATTTAAACCATACCCTTAAAAAACACGATTTAAACCAAACATTTAACAGCATAAATGGATTATGTTACATGGGACCGAACCAAACGCTATCAAAGTGTTTCGGCATGGTATGGCGAGTCCAATCCTAAAACGAATTGGAATAACCACGCATGAAATGCACGATGTGATTGTCAAATAATTCTTTAGGCTGCAAGTCATTAAGATAACCACGCAACCAGCTGAATTTCTTGTTCAATAATGCCGTAGGAGTATATTTGCTAGTTATCGAAAAGCTCTCTTCCTATACATAAAAAACAATAATGATTAGACCCGGGTGTCCGTCCGTCTGGATGGACTAACCCGCTCGCGTTGCTCACCTACATCGCGTGGCACCACTCGCCCGCATCACAAAAAAAGAAAGAAATGAAACCATGGACGCGCACTCCGCTCCGTAGTATCCGCGGCCGCCGCAGGCGACACCGCCGCTCCCACACCGCCAGTCGACGCCGCTGGCTCCGCACCGTCCGCATCTCCGCCCCAACCTCTCCTTCCTCTCTCTACCTCTCTCTCTACCTCTCTCCCAACGTGGCCCAAAGCGCGGCCACCTCCGCGCGCTGCGCTCGATCGGCCCGGTGGGGTGGCCACTCGCCCACATCACGCGCCTCTGCCCTACTCTGCCTTGCTGCTCCTTCCACCAAATCCACTGCGTGACAAGAGATCCGATGGTGGTGGGGACTGTGGCGCCGGCTGCAGGGGCTGTAGGGGGTTGCGTGTCCTACACGAAGGGGTCCCCGCCGTCCTCGTAGTAGGCAGAGTCCATCTGGTCGATGTTGGCGTTGGTCGATGGTGACGACGGCGCGGTTGCTCCGGTGAACTCCACATGCCGGCGAGCCTCCATTTCGTAAGCAGCAAGGAGATGTTGCGATGTGTTGAAAACATATGTTGCAAGTGATTCAGATGTTTTCAGATGAATGTTGCAAAAGTATATCAGAATATTGCATATGTTTCAATAGTTGTATACGTATGTTGCAAAGGCCTGCTCACAATATTTCATCTGTGTTTTTGAATGTATTGTTGCAAGTGTGTTTATTAAGATGTTTCATACGTTTCACACATATGTTGCAAGTGTTTTATCTAGATATTGCATATGTTTGTATTGGTTTTCAAGTGTTTTTCATGTGTTTTTGCAAGTGTTTCAGAAGCATGTTTCAAGTGTTTCATTTATCTTCAACTATGTTGCAAGTGTTACACCTATATGTTTAAAAAGTACATCAGGTGTTGCACATGTTGCAATGCGTGTGAGAAACGGAGGGGACATGAGCGGTCCCCACGCGAGGCATGGCAGCGCGGCCCCGCATGGGCATGGGAAACCCAGGCGCAGGCGGTGGGGGGCGTACTGTTTTTTTTTTTTTTGCGAGCGCGAGATGAAGAGTGCTGGTGCGAGCGCGGGAAACTGCAGTGCGGGCATCCAGACACGGGCCTCGGGCCGAACATCCGGGTGCTAGTCATCCCGTAAAAAGGTACCCATGTGCACATCCATTTACGGGAAGCTATATACTTTGTGTGAAGGAGTCCAGCGTTCCAGAAGAAGCGGCAGGAGTTCTAATCCAGCTAGGGAATACATATTGGCCGTTGGACGTCGCTTGCAGGCGCATGGAGGAGGATGACGCCCCGTCCGCCCGTCACAGAGTATTGTGGCAAACGGACAAACAGCAAGGAGTGGCCAGTAAGCGCCGGCCGGCCGGCCAGGCGCACCCAGCTAGGGATGAAAACAAAAATGATAATTTCCAATTTTTGACAATCGTTTTCGAGTTTTTTCTGATTTTCATGCCAAAACGAAAATGGTAGCGTTAATCGAAAAAACAAAAACGATAATGATAAAAATAATCAGAAACAAAAGCGAAAATAATTTTGTCCTCTTCCGACCGTTTTCGAAGATTGGCGTATTTAGCCGATAATTTACCGTCGGTAGTTACCGATTCAAAGACCTTGAATCATAATTTATTTATAGACTATATATGTACTTCATATACTTTAGGTCCGGTTGGCCCACATTTAAATATCTCATCTGCACACGCAAGCAGATAAGGCAAATATTTTTTTGAAAGGAACCATACGGCAACTATTTCATCTGTAAAGGAACAAGAATGCAATCAGCCCATCACGTACTGCATCCTAACTCTAGCCAGTCACCACGAACACGAACGGAATCTGAGGTTTAGCTAATTTGAGATATAAGGTGGTGTGAACTGTGGTTTTAGCTTGTGGTATTATCAATTGTGGCTTTATTTATTACTATTGTCATGTGAGATAGGTTGAGTTTTATTGCTCTTCTCATGTTCTATGGTTTGACGTGTTTATTGTTTTTGAGGATATCGCTCTTATAGATTCCGATCATTATCGATGTATTTTAGATCGACTACTACCGTTTTCGAAATTATCGATGTATTTATCGGTGCCGTATTCGTTTCCGACAGTGTCGAATTTCGTTTTTGAAAAACATATATGAAAATAAAAGTGATTTAACCTCCTGTCGATGGTTTCCCATCGTTTTCATCCCTACACCCAGCCCGACGACGGGGCCGCCCAGCCAATGATTCACCGGCAGTGCATGCACGTGATCTGTGGTCACGACGTCACGGATCACGTCGGAACATGGATTCTGCCCGGTCCAGCTATCTACCCGTGCCTACGCGCGCGTGTGCTATAGCTGCTACTGCTAGGCTGGTAGCTCGCCGTAGTTGTCGCGTAGCTGGATCCGATTGAATAATCTGCTAGGCACAAGCTATGCTTATTACTCCCTCCGTCAAAGAAGAGGTCAGTCAAACAAGCTATGCTTATTACTCCCTCCGTCAAAGAAGAGGTCAGTCAAAAGAAGTCCAACTTTAATCAAATTTATAATAAATAATATTATTTATATCTTAAAATAAATTTAATATAAAAATATATTTTATAACTAATATAATGATATTTATTTTGGTCTTACGAGTGTTAGTATATTTTTTTATATAATTTTAGTATTGAAACTGTTTGACTTCTCGAAACGTGAGAATTACAATTTTTTTTATGGATGAGGGAGTAGCTAGCTAGAGCAAGCAATGCAAGCATGGCTGTCAAAGGAGAGGCTCTCTCTTCGACTCTCCGGTCCAACTCATCCAGGTCTCGATCAGCTCCTGCCGCGGCAAATAAAGCTGTCGCACGTGTACAGCCGCATGCGATAGATGCCGCAGTTTTATTTGGATGTTCTCAGTCCCCTGGATGTTCTGACGGAGCAATGGTTAATTGTTCAATTTGAGCATACGTCGGAAACTGCCATCTGTATCCGAGATGACTGGGTCCATTTGCACTGGGATCAGCGTAGCAGCCACGACAAACACAAAAGGCTCGTCGCCGTCGATATAACCGGTGATCATGTACGTGTTCCAAATTAAATCTAGAGTTCACTTTAGGTTCAAAAAAACACTGAATTATGAAAACTCACGGGTGCTGATATGAGAGAAGAGAGAAAAGGAGCTGAGAGAGTGTCGACCCAAACCCTAACTCACGCTTATATACATGGACATAAGTAACAGGCCTCCTAGGCCAATTGGGCCTCGTGCTTTTTTTTAGACGGGCTATTTTTTGACCGCCTACGTAAATAAAAAGACCATCTCCGTAAATCAATTTTGCGAGACGGTCAATTTTGAGCGTCTCCGTAAATAAAACAACCGTCTTCATTAAACGTCAGGTATTTTACAAGACACGTAACAATTCTGCCCGCCTCCAAAAATAAAAGAGGTGTGTCTGCTAAAATCATTTTTGTAGTAGTGATAAATAAAATAAAACAAGGACGAAGCTAGCAAGAGGCGATAAATAAAATGAGATATCTCGCAAAAGAACATAAAAATAGTCGAGGAAACATGGAACCATTTTCATCCTGTTCTCATATCTATTTTCCTTTTTTCATACCAATTTCACTCTTAAAAATAAGAGTGGTACCAAATTATAAAAAAAGGGTCCTTTCTGGTGGAGAGATAACTTGAAAACCTTCCTGATTTCAAGATCATGGGCAACCTAGCTTGTGTAACCAAGTTCTTAAAACCAGATTGCCAGATCTGCTCTCCTTTGCAAAGAATAAGGCCGGCTTACTTTCTTCAGGGAATTGCTATTGCTCTCCCATAGGGTCAATTCAAGACTTTTCAACACCTTTTGATCAATAGATACAGACTCTGGTGTAATTAGTAGGCTTTGTCTTATTTTCTTTTTGTTTCGTTCTTTGTTTCTTGAATTCCTTCTTTGTTAAACTCTTGTAATCTTTGTTTATTCGCTATAATATATTCATTGTAGAGGAGCAGCCCCCTCTAGGTTGCTTAAAAAAACATAAATAAATATAGAAAACAACACATGAGCCAAGTTAAAGGGGGGGGGGGAATCAGTTCTCGGATTTGAATGCTGATCAAATTGATGTTGATGTTGATGTTGTTGAATGGATATGAGTCTTCACCGATTTTGCTGTTTGTGATGCCGTGAAGCACCTGTCTATGTATGCACGTTGTTCCACGGGGTTATCCATGTATTACGGAGTGAAATCGATAGTTTGTTTGATACTATGACGTAACTTTTTACCTACTAAGAGTATTCGAGTATTAAAAAATATGGCTCATAAGGCCTTCCACAATGTGATAGTGGTGCCCAAAAATCATTGGCATCGACGTTTGAATTCTAGCACCACGCCAGTTAGCTCACCGTGGTGGACAACAACAAGCAGGACTTGTGGGACGTGCCAATCTAGTTAAAAGTAAATAAAAGAACAGATGGTGTACTCAGCCAGCGACCCGAAGAGGTTGCAGTTCGCACTTGTCGTCTTCGTCTTGATAACCATTCTAGGGCTATTTTCAGTGAGATTTTCATCACAGTTTTATTTATATTTAATAAGCTGTCACATAAACGTTTTTGACATGGCAATGTTTTTAATGTAAGAGAGAGCGAAAGAAGAAATGAGTTTCACGGTCAAGGATGGAACTCTCGTGCTCCGTTACCAACTCAAGATGACTCGTAGAATTAAAATGTCTATATGAAATAAGTGAATGAACTTGACTTCATAAGCACAAGATCAGTCTGAGGCCCCCGCGTCGCTCTCTCCAGGGCGACTCGGGCGGCGCCGCTCCTCCACACGCCTCCGAGCCCCCTCTCGCTCCCATCCCCGGCCGCCGCCGGAGCTCGGCGCCGGCTGGCCGGCCGAAGGCAGGGATGGCGGCGGCTGGGTCTTCCCCTTCTCCTCCCTCCTCTCTCTCTCTCCCGGAGGTGCTCCCAAGTTGGGGTTCTGGCCATGGCGGAGGTCTGCTTGGGGGCGGTGGCCGGCGGCGGGTTTCCGGCCTGCCATGCCCGGATCCGGCGTCCCCTAAGCCGGATCTGTCCTGCCGGAGCGCAGATCCGTGGTGCGGTCGCTGGATGCAGCTGCGGCGGCGTGGTGGTCTTGGTGGCGGGTGTGGTGTGCTGGGCGGCGCGAAGCCACGCTGGCTGCTCCGGTGGCCTCGCTGCCCGGTGGCGGTGGCTCTTGGGCTGCGGACAGCTTTCGGGGCGGACCGACGCGACTACGGCGGTGGCTCACCCGGCTGCCGGTGGGAGATCCGCTGCGCCGCCGCCCGGGCGCCCGGCGTCTGCGGCAGGCGGCGACCGCGAGGCGCCGCGGCGGCGGCCTTGGCTGCGGGTGCTCGGTCTGTTGGCTTACGGCGGCTGGGCGCGCGCTGCGTACGGGCGGCCGCCCGAAGCTGCACCGGAGTGCCACACGGCGTGTGGCGCGGTGGCGTGCGGTGGAGTCGACGCCTGCCGGTGTGCGGCGTTAGCGCGCCTGGTGGTGGCATGGACGGCGACGGCCTCCTCGCTTCGTGTCGCGGCGCCATGGCGGCGAGGCGGGCGGAGGTCCAGCGGGCAAACTCGCGCCTCTCACGGTGGATCGGCGGAGGTCGCGCGCGTCGGCGGGTGCTTGTGCGCGACGGCGGCCGGCGGCGGCGGCGGGTGTCGCGCGCGCGAGGTAAGTCGATTCGCATGTTGTCCGATCGGAGGGTGGCGGCGGCCGCGCAATGCGGTGCGGTTGTTGTGCAAACCGCGCGCGCCGATGCCCCTCTCGAGAAGCTTCGCGGGATGGCGAAGTGACGACGACGGTGGCGGCGAAAGCTACGGTCCAGCATCTTGGCTCGACGTATGTGCTAGGGGCACCTCGGCGAAAAGCCTTTATGACGGCGACGCCTGGGCGCCGTTTTTCCTTGTTAGGGGCGTCGTGTTCTTGTGCCCCCAACCATGTCTTCCACGGGTGAAAACCCGGTCCTTTCTGGACAAGCGACGGCGACGATTCGGCGTCGTACCCTTCCCCTGGCGCGTCATTGTGGAAATTCGCCTCGCCATGTTGTCTCCTTCGGCGGATGTCCTCCGCCTCTCGGCGCCCGGTTGATGCGAGACGGCGAGTTCTGCATCGCGAAGTCGGAGCTGCTGCATCAGGGGATGTAGTTCGGCAACGATGACGCGGGTCGAACTCTCCTTCTCCGACGGCTGGGTCTTCAGCTTTAGAGGCTCGGCAATCGCCGCGGGCGGGGCGTGGGATCTTGGCAGGAAGTCGGAGCTGCTCTTTGCGGGGCGTTTGAGCTCGGCAACGATGACCGCTGCAGACCCTCTCGCCGGGCCCGATAGATCGACATCTTATGATGGGTTGTCGGTGTTTTGCCATGGGAAGTCGGAGCTGCTAGCTGCTTTGCAACTATGTTCGGCAACGATGACTTATGGTAGTGTGTACTCTGTCGCGTTGCATGGGTGGGTAACCTTTCGTGGTGTCTGGCGCCACGCTTGGCTACCTTTTGCTTGTATATAAACTTCATTCGTCTTAATTGAAAGGCAGAGCTCCTGCCATTGTTTCAAAAAAAAAAATAAGTGAATGAAACTATGCAATGATAATGATGGTTTAACTCTTCGCTGAGAATATCCTAAAACAAAGGAAAAATAAATTAACTATGTTGGAGATTATACAATGTACTGCATTGTGCCAGGCGAAGCTAGACACTGCACCTTGGCTTCGAGCGTGTGTCGTCTATATATACCCGTACCAACTGGCTCCGTATATGTTTTCTTCTGGTTCTCGCGTGCTACAGCTGAGTGGTGAGAGTGACCAAGCGTCCCTCCGTCCGGCTCGGTCCGCGCGGCCATGGCGAGCACTAAGACGATGCTGCAGCTGCAGGAGAGGGTCCGGCTCCCCCGCACGGCGTGGAAGCTGGCTGACCTCGCCGTTCTCTTCCTGCTCCTGGCCCTCCTCGCTCGCCGTGCGTCCTCGCTGGTGGCGGCGGGCTGCGCGGCGCCGGCGTGCACGTGGTGCTGGGTCGCCGCGCTCATCTGCGAGGCGTGGTTCACGGTGGTGTGGCTCATCAACATAAACGCCAAGTGGAACCCGGTCCGCTTCGACACGCACCCTGAACGCCTAGCCCAACGGTACGCTAAGTGGTGGCTAGCTAGTAGCTACACTAGGCTTCCAGGAAAACGTACGCTAGTACGTAGAATCATAGTACGTAGCTTTTTTTTTTGCTTAATCAACTCAATCTACTGCGTTGTTTGCCGTCAGGACGAGCGACGACGAGCTGCCGGCGGTGGACATGTTCGTGACGACGGCGGACCCGAAGCTGGAGCCGCCGCTGGTGACGATGAACACGGTGCTGTCGCTGCTGGCGCTGGACTACCCAGCGGGCAAGCTGACGTGCTACGTCTCCGACGACGGATGCTCGGCGGTGACCTGCTACGGGCTGCGCGAGGCCGCCGAGTTCGCCAAGCTCTGGGTGCCCTTCTGCAAGAAGTACGGTGTCGGGGTCCGTGCCCCCTTCGTGTACTTCTCCTCCGGCGCTGCGGGAGCCGCCGCCGACGCCGAGTTCTTGCGCGCTTGGACACTCATGAAGGTAAACCTGCTAGCTACTGTAAAAAAAATCCATGTAGTCAGTAACATCCGCCGTACACACTTATTACGTGCCAGTGTCTGATCGTGCTCTTGCATGTAGAACGAGTACGAGGAGTTGGTCCGCCGGATCGAGAACGCCGAAGAGGACTCTCTAGTCCGGCGCGGCGACGGCGAGTTCACCGAATTCGTGGGTGCTGACCGCAGGAACCACCCGACCATAATCAAGGTAGAGACGAACTCATGGATTGAGCAGCCATGATGAAACGCGTGCCCGTCTCGTTGCTTTGTTTTTTCTTGCTAACCGCGACCGCGAGTGTTCAGGTGCTCCGGGACAGCAGCAGCAAGAGCAAGAGCAATCAGGCTGCAGACGATGGAATCCCCAGCCTCATATACGTCTCGAGGGAGAAGAGCCCCACACAGCACCACCACTTCAAGGCCGGCGCCATGAACGTCCTGGTACGTACATCATCGGTGTTCACCGTCCGTAGTGCAGCTGATGAGTGGAGACGTGGACATACATCAGCCTGAACATGCATTTCCCTGTGCACTGACTGCAGACGAGGGTGTCCGGCGTGGTGACCAACTCTCCCATCATGCTAAACGTGGACTGCGACATGTTTGCCAACAACCCGCAGGTCGCCCTCCACGCCATGTGCCTCCTCCTGGGCTTCGACGACGACGTCCACAGCGGCTTCGTTCAGGCGCCGCAGAAGTTCTATGGCGCCCTCAACGACGATCCTTTTGGCAACCAGATGCAGGTTATTTTCGAGGTAGGTACAGATCACTATCATTATCATAGGAGTACTACCTCGATCGCTAAGAGAAACGCTGTGTTAGCTTTGTATATATCGACAACTTTTGCCGTCTGTGCTGATGAGCTTATGTAGAAAATTGGATACGGAGTTGCCGGACTTCAAGGCCTATTTTACTGTGGGACGGGTTGCTTTCACCGTAGGAAAGTCATGTACGGCGTGCCACCAGACTCCGCCACCACCACCAGCACGAAAGGTGACATCTTTCGAAAGACCGACTGCTCCGCAATGTATTCTGATTCAGTGTATATATGCTCTTAACCGGTTGTATTGTACAATACAAACTCTGGCATGCAGATTCACCATCTTACAAGGAGCTACAGAACAAGTTTGGCGGATCGAATGAACTGATCGAGTCGGCGAGGAGCATCATTTCCGGCGACATGTTCAAATCGCCAACGACTGTGGTGGCAGATCTGACGAATCGTGTCGAAGCAGCGAAACAAGTTTCTGCCTGCAGCTTCGAGACTGGCACAAGCTGGGGTCAGGAGGTATACTCCATGTTTTTAACACTGTCCCTCACATCTAGTAGCATTTTGCAGGTTTTGGTTACCTGAACGAACTCATGCATGTGCTTGCAGGTTGGCTGGGTCTACGGGTCCATGACCGAGGACGTCCTGACGGGTCAGCGCATCCACGCCGCCGGCTGGAGGTCGGCGATCCTGAACCCCGACCCGCCGGCGTTCCTTGGTGGCGCGCCCACCGGCGGGCCGGCCAGCCTCTCCCAGTACAAGAGATGGGCGACGGGCTTGCTGGAGATACTCCTCAGCCGCCATAACCCGGTCCTCCTCTCCGCGTTCAAGCGCCTCGATTTCCGGCAGTGCGTCGCCTACCTAGTCATCGACGTGTGGCCCGTCAGGGCACCCTTTGAGCTGTGCTATGCATTGTTAGCACCTTACTGCCTCATTGCGAATCGCTCCTTCTTGCCAAAGGTAATCTTTTTCCTTCACCGGCCGGTCCTTCTTGCCAAAGTGGCAGAGTTTCTGAAATTTCATCTTCTTGTGGCGCAGTCGTCAGAGCCGGGTTTCGTCATCCCGCTGGCGCTGTTCCTAGCCTACAACGCGTACAACCTGGGCGAGTACAAGGACTGCCGGTTATCGGCGCGCGCCTGGTGGAACAACCACAGGATGCAGCGGATCGTGTCGGCGTCCGCCTGGCTGCTCGCCTTCCTCACCGTGGTCCTCAAGACGGTCGGCCTCTCGGAGACGGTGTTCGAGGTGACGCGCAAGGAGCAGCAGAGCTCGTCCGACGGAGACGCTGGCGATGGCGCGGACGACGCCGATCCGGGGCGGTTCACCTTCGACTCGTCGCCGGTGTTCGTCCCGCCGACGGCGCTCGCGATGCTGAGTATCGTCGCCGTCGCCGTCGGAGCGTGGAGGGTGGTCGCCGGTGCGGTGCCCGCCGCCGGTGGCCCGGGCGCCGGGGAGCTCGTGTGCTGTGGATGGCTGGTGCTCTGCTTCTGGCCGTTCGTGAGGGGGCTCGTCGGCAAGGGAAGCTACGGCATCCCCTGGAGCGTCAGGCTCAAGGCTGCTCTGCTCGTCGCCGCGTTCGCGCACCTGTGCACACGCAACTAACTTACTTCGCCGGCATCACAACTACCTACACCTCTGCGATGGTTGGCTGACGTGACGGGAATCATCTCGGAAACGGAAACATGTCTGCAACCCCATCCCCATCCATCCGTAATCCACAACGTGTTGTGTCGTGACTAAGATTGTACTGTACCTTTGCTTCCACTGTTTGTACAGAATTCTTGTAGAAGATATTTGGACACACATGTCACATGTCACACCAGCACACGAGCTATGTGACATGTGGCATGTCATCTACGGTTAGAAAACAGAAATTCAGAGCAGATTGTAATTTGCCGATCCCATCGGTTTCAGCCCGGTCGGTTGGGGTTGACAACGATTCCCAGCCGAGTTTCCTTAAGGCTTGTTCGGTTACCTCGGAATGAACACCTGGAACGATTTTCATCCAAAACGATTGTCTAATTTGTACTCAAGGCCAGGGCCTATCACTACTGGAATCAACGAGTTTCCCTACAGTTTATTTGTTTCCCTACCGTTTTACGATAGTCCAAGGGAGAGATTTGTTTCCCTAGAGTTCTCTTTGCAAACCGTAGGGAAACGTATATTTCCCTAGGAGATCTTTGGTTTCGTCGGGGGGAGCAGCAGTGTTGGCTCTGTTGCAGCACTTGCGTGTCGTATTTCCCTTCGAATGAAATAGAAATCCTAGGGAACCAATTCCGCAGAGTCTAACCCTAGACCTCCAATCTCTATGGCACCAACTTCTCCCGCCGTCCCAGCCACCATTTTTCCCCAGCCGCCCTATCCATTTCGCACCCGCGCCGTCTCCGTGGACCAAATCACCAGCCAGAGTACGGGAGGGTACCCATTGTCTGGCGCTTCTACTCCATCGCGCCCCTAAGCGCGCCGCTGCTCATGGCTCCAGCGCACCCAGCACCGCCGCCCAAGATGCCACCGACCGTCGGCCCCAGGCGCTGTCGCCCACGTGCTCCAGGCGCGCCGCCGACCAGGCGCCCCAGCCCCAGGTACTACCGTCCATTCACCCCAGCCACTGCTTGTGCGTCCATCTACTGTACCCAGCTCCGCCGCCGGTGTGCCAAAGCTTTAGATTTCAGAACCACAATAATTTCTTTCCTTGTTTTTGGCTAGGAATTTTGGTTCGGATTCAGTCAAGTTGCTGTTGGTGAAAGTGACCAATAATTTGCTTCCTCGTAAGGATGGCAATGGATCGGGTTTGGGGCGGATATCCGCGGGTTTCGGGTTTTGCGGGTTTGGGTTTGGGGATGGTTTTTTACCCACGGTTTTCGGGTTCGGGGCCCCGAAACCAATCGGGTTCGGTTTCGGGTTTGGTTTTCCACCCGTGGATATCCAATGGATATCCGAAATAAATCATTTGGAATTAAAACTCATGTTTTATAATATACTAATACTAATTTGTTTACTTAGATTATTAAATTTATTTAAAGTTGACTCATGAAAATATTTATTATTTGTTGCCTCTTGTTTATACATGTGAATATGTGTATATATATCCGCGGGTTTCGGGTATCCATTCGGGTTTCGGGTATCCGTTCGGGTTTCGGGTATCCGCGGGTTTGGTTTTGGTGATGGATTTCCACCCGAATCGGTTTTCGGGGCGGATTCGGGTTTCGATTTCGGGTTTCGGTTTTGGGTGCACGGAGACTCCACCCGATCCGAACCCGACCCGTTGCCATCCTTACTTCCTCGTTTCCACTGGGCTTTGCTATTTCCTCTCCAGCTCGACCCATCAGTGAACATAGTAAGTTGCTTTTTTAGTGATGGAAAAAACTGTGCACCAGAAATTTGACCAAATTTGCGAAACAATGACGTGCTTGCGCATCACTAGTATTTCTATATGAATGGTTGAGTAACAGACTCTGCGCATACATACATACATACATACATACATACATACATACATACATACATACATACATTTAGGCCACTTCTTGTTACTTGCATCAAATCAATACCTGACTCTGCGCATACTAAATTTACAGGCACATGTTCCCTCCTGTTTGTTCAGGGGAAAAATACTAAATGGGTTTTATTTTTTACCCATGAATCTTTCTGTACAATAACCAAAGTCATGATTGTACCATCAAACCATTTGAAGAGGAGTGCAAGGGAGCACAACATCTACAGAAAGAAGCCGTGATAGTTTGTGTGTCGCTTGCTGAACCAACATCTGCAGGAACAAGGAGGGCAAGGTGAGTAGTGAATTTGCCTTTTCTTGGTGTTGTTTGTATTCCTACTAAGTGAAAACAGAATTAGAAATTGTTTAATTGACTTGAGAGTGACAGAGACTATTGCAATTGCTGAATTTGTTTGGTGCTGAACTAGTCTTTGGTCATTTCCGAAAATCAGAAAGTCAGTAAGTGCTAAGCTTCTAAATTTTACCTAGGAAATAAGTATTTTTGGTGCACTCACTAGTCATAGATTTGTTCATGAATGCTGAACAAAGAAGGCATTTCTAATGTTAGCCTTTGTGCAACTGATTTCAGGTTCTGTTCATTTCTTGAAAATTAGAAATTTAGAAGCTTAGCAATAATTTTGTGTTGCAACCTAATAGGTGAATACTTAGTCCTCTCATGTGTCTAACTGTTTATAATTGTTTTTATTTTTAATGACTTGACTATTGAGTTCAGAGACTTCTGTAAATCCTCTGATGTAATCTAGATCTTTTCTTAGTGTTTGTTTGGACTTGCTTTTCTAGACCAGGCTTTTAGTGTTGTTCGTAATTCTGAAAGAATTGGGGTAGTTTGTCCGTGTTCAGATTGTGGCAACAAAGTTAGACAGAGAAGAGCTGTCATGAGCATGCATTTGTGTAAGAGAGGATTTATGCCTGGGTATACTACATGGACAGAACATGGACAACAACCTATTAGTGAGCCTACATTGGAATATGCCTATGATGATGGTTTAGATCAAATGTTAGCTGATCTTGGTGATGCAATGCATACAGAGAGTGTAGAAGACGAACCAATGGCACATGCTAAGGCATTCTATGCCTTGCTATCACCTTCAAAAAAGCCGCTCCATAACTACACTAGTGTTGCACAACTAACTGCAGTAACACGCTTGATGGCAATTAAGTCTCAACACAATCTCTCTATAGAATGCATTAATAAATTGCTGAATTTGTTTGGTGATGTACTGCCAGAGGACCATAAAATGCCAAAATCTTTGTATGAGTGCCAGTGTCTTCTTCATGGTCTAAAAATGCCTTACATCAAGATAGATGCGTGTGTAAACAATTGCATGATATACTACAAAGAAGATGCGAACAAGGAAAAATGTGATTTTTGTGAGGAAAGCCGATATGTAGTTACTGAACAAACACACCAAGGGCATAAACGAAAACCAATACCACGTAAGGTTCTATGCTATCTCCCACTCATACCAAGGTTACAACGGTTGTACATGGAGCCAAAAATTGCAAAGCACATGCGGTGGCACAAGGAGGGTAGTCGTGCCAACCCAACTGTTATGGTGCACCCGTCTGATGCTGAAGCATGGACACATTTCAATAGGGCTTGCCCAAGTTTTGCAATGGACCCGAGGAATGTTCAAATTGCTATGGCGATAGATGGCTTCAACCCATTTGGCTATGGAAAAGCTCAATATTCCTGCTGGCTAGTTTTTTCAATTCCTTTGAACTTACCTCCAGCTCTTTGTATGAAGGAGGAGAACATATTTCTTAGTTTAGTGATTCCTGGACCAGAGCATCCCGGCAAGAACATGAATGTCTTCATGCGACCACTTGTTGATGAGATCAAGGAAGCTTGGGCAGGAGTACTCACTTATGATAGCTTCTCAAAGCAAAATTTTAATATGAGGGTTTCATGTCATACTTCCATCCATGACTTTTCTGGTTTGGGTATGTTCTCTGGATGGTCAACACATGGCGGTTTGGCCTGTTTTGATTGTATGGCTGATGTGGATAGCACTTGGCTACCAAATGGTCACAAGTATAGTTGGTTTGATTGCCATAGAAGATTTCTGCCACCTAACCATACCTTTAGGGGCCAAAAGAATGCATTTAGAAAGGGGGTAGCTGTGTATGACATGGCTCCACACCGGTTAATAGGTGAAGAGGTGCTAGCATACATGAATGAAGTCAAAGATAACTCTTTTGAAGGTTATGGTACCACCCACAATTGGACACACATCCCATTTCTACAGGAATTGCCATATTTCCCTCTACTTTTGCGTCCACATCACATTGATGTTATGCATACTGAAAAATGTAGCAGAAGCTATTTTTGCTACATGTCTTGACATTGTTGACAAGACCAAGGATAATAATAAGGCTCGCCTTGACCAAGCCTTGATTTGTAATAGAAGACATCTCAACCTTATTGAGAAGCCAAATGACAGGTGGGATAGACCTAGAGCACCTTTTTCTCTAACAAGACCTCAGAAAAAGGATGTTATGCAGTGGTTTATGGACATCAAATTCCCTGATGGCTATGCAGCAAACCTAAGGCGAGGGGTGAACATGGACACTCTAAAGATAAATGGCCTCAAGAGTCATGACTTCCATATATTCATTGAGCGTCTTCTACCTGTGATGATGCGAGGTTATATCAAGAATGGCATATGGGAGGTGCTAGCTGAACTGAGTTACTTTTTTAGAGTGCTTTGTGCAAAGGAGGTTGATCGTGTTCAGATACATCAACTTGAAGCAAACATAACTATTATACTTTGCAAATTGGAGAAAATCTTTCCTCCAGGATTCTTCAATTCAATGGAGCATCTAATGGTGCACCTCCCATACCAAGTTAGGTTAGGAGGACCTATAAAGTACACATGGATGTATGGAGTTGAGAGGTATACATTTAGGACTTTTGTTCTTTACCATTGTCCTTTGTCATAACCAATGAACTAATAGTAACTGAAACTGCTGTAGGTTGTTAAAAAAGGTGAGGGCAAAAGTCCGTAACAAGACTCATGTTGAAGCATCAATAGTGGAAGGATGCCTTGTTGAGGAGATCAGTCACTTAACATCATTATACTTACCTGATCTCATATCTAGCTCCTGAAACCAGCCACAACGTTATGCTCAAAATGTTGCTCCATCTGAGTCTACCCTTAGTTTGTTCCAAGTGCGTGGATGGAAGAGTGGTAGAGGAATAACAAGGTTTCTGAGTGTTGAAGAGTATAAGACAGCAATGATTTATATCTTCACGAACTTGGCTGAAATGGATGAATATATGCAGTGAGTACACTAATTTCATAAATTAGCTAATCACACTAATCATTACAATAATTCATGTTGTTATGTCAATCCATAGAAAATTTGAACAAGAACAATGGAGGCGCACAAGACCACCAAATCAGAGACAACTAGACAATTTAAGGATGAATGGGGCTGGCCATGGCAAATTCAGATTCTTTTTGTTATAGTCAAAGAAATTAGGAAGACCAATATCTGATATCGAGGCATGGGTCCATACACATAGAGGTTCAAATCCTGAAGATATTACTTCACTAAACACTGAAGAAGCAACTACATGTTTGGTAAGTGCGAGATGAAGATCCTAATACTGCAGTTAATGTTTTGTTTGGTTGCTGTTAATATTTTGTTCACATCTTACATATGTACATAACTGGTTGATCCTCCAGTGGATGCCATGTATACAGTTTTTTTTTATTTGAAGCAAAAAATCCACTCTTCTACTGATCCTTCTTACTCCTTTAGCAACTATTCACACATTAATTTATATGGTATAGGATAAATACAAAGCTAAGGCCATTGAGTTAAATGGACAAGATTTTGATTGGTTGCATTCTCCAGTGGATGCTAGAGCTCTTTATGAATGCTCTTGTGGTCGCCCACATGGAAAATGGGCCACATTTAATGGAATGATCAATGACAAAGAAGTCCTCCCTGACTTAAGGAGAAGTCATGCCTGTGCAGTGGCTGCTAGACGTCAACGCCAAGAGGAAGAGGAACGATCAAGGAAGGAAGCTCATGATAGTCGCGTGGCCAAGGAATATGCCCAAAATATGTTGGAATGGGGTAGAATGGTGAATGCTCACAATGAGAACATCCAAAAGTTTATGGAGATGACATCTCACGTGCATCCTTATTCATCTTAGTAGTGCCCATGAACAACTTTTTAATTAGTATACATTAGATTGGATTGTTGAAATGCAGAGTGTTGTTCAGCACACTGGTATGCCTGCAATGTTAGTTCCTCCTCCTCTGCCTCCCTCACCCGCGCCTCCTGTATATGCCGATCCACCATCTTCAAATCCCTCTCCCAACAATGTAAGTTTGATGATTAGCATGCTTATTTTTTTTTATCTTTGTACATGCACTGGCACTTGAGGTTTCTATCTAGTAGTGCTGTAGAGTTTCAGCTGCTTGGCATGTGCATTATTTCTCCTATAGAACATTGTGTTTGCTAATCAGATATGGCTTAGTAATGTCAGCTGTAATGTCATTCATACAAGTAGTACATTTCAACTAGTTTATTATGTTTGGCTTAGTAATGTCAGCTGCATAACTAGCCTATGTTTGGCTTAGTAATATCAGTTGTACATCACATGTACAGGACCTAGAACTTTGGCATTACCTTTCAGTGCAATATATATTCAAACTTGTTATAATTTTTCCTCACACTTCTACTTATTTAATTGTTTTCCCTGTTTAATTGAATAGACTTGTACTGGTGGCTCTTCTGTTGGAATAGAAACTCCTGGTGAAACATTGAGTAGAATTGCTCTTGGAAGATTCCGTGGCCATGAAAATACAGCAACTACAAGTGGTGATGGTACCTACTCTCTGCCGCAGGATGAATTTCCATTCTTTTGACATCTTTTGTTGCTAAAACTTGGCTTGGACAACATGCTGTTATGTTTTGTTGCCATAAAATCCATGGATTGGACAAGAACTCCTTTTGGATCTAGTGTTTGATTGTTTTGAGGCCTAGTAGCTGTAATGTATTAGTGAACATCATAATTGTATTGTGATACTGCAATGTATGTGTTAATGAATGCACGTGATTGATGCTCATTGGATCGTGTCCATGTGGTAGAATTTGAATTTTGTATTTAAATTCAAATACAAATATGCATACAAATTACAATTCGTCATGCAATAAAATTTCCCTACAGATCCTGTTCCTAGGGATAGCAACTTTTCATGTAGGATTAGTTCCCTACGGATCATTTAAAGTCCTAGAGAAAGCAACTTTACAGGTAGGATGGATCATGGTGGTGTCAATAGATTTTCCTACAGACGTGTTTCCTAGGGAAACAAAGGCAACCGTAGGGCACTAACCTGTTTTCCGTCAAAACATGCCCTAGGAAATGTCCCCTACGAAACACCCTAGGAAAATGGTTTCCCTATGGTTTTTTGTCGTTTTCCTAGGAATTGGAACTCTAGGGAAAGAAGTGGATTGTAGTAGTATGTTCGGTTAGTGTGGAAACTAATTTAAATAGCGTCGGAACGGTTCCGGCCAGGATCGGCCAGAACGGAGATAACCGAACGGCCCTAGACTAAATTCTTACAGAAGCTTTCAGCCCAGAAAAGGCACAGCTGGGCTCCATTGATCGCCCTGACGTAATAACAAACACATAAAAGCCCAGGTAATAAACCAGTGAACCAACTGTGGAGATACGATTCCCCTCAAACAAAAAAAATTGTGGAGATACGAGGCGGAGACGTGGCTCTCGCTTTAGTCCCATACAGGAGGGCTAGGCATGCGCGACTGAGCTGAAATGGACGATGGAGCCAACGCCAAGCGTGCCGCAAATGAAGGCACATTCAGAGCACGAGTTATCCGTAGCTCGTGTGCTGGTGGCATGGTGCACGGTATGTGCACATAGCGAACCTAAACATTGTTCAAGAAAAATTTGGCAGCCACCAGGATCTACCTGGTTAATATACCAGGCGCATGACATGCGCGCCTTGCAATTTCTTTTTTTTTTGGACGATTTTTTCTTCTTACAATACAGAACATTTTTTTGTTTGTTTTTGACGATTTTGCCGCTTACTACATAGAACAGGTTTACTATGTACGTCCCATCTCCCATAGAGGACGTAGACCCTTTTTAATTTTTGAGTTAACTACAACTAGAATCATTGCCTTTATAAATTTAGCGTTTCTAAAATATTATTATTTTTCATCTAATATTAGTAGTGCCATTACAATACATCCAAAACTTACAATATGCCACTTTCTTCGCCCGTAAACTACATGGACCCACATGTAAACCATCGTATTTTCATATGGACCTAAAATGCCTCCACTGCTCTCCAACTCCTTACTAACATGTGGGTCCCACCTGTCATCCCCTTCCTCTCCTTCACCAGACAACCACATCTTCCCCATAACGCGTCGTCGACGCCACCCTATTGTCGGTGTTTGATGACCAGCAACTCACCACGGGGTTACCCGGGACGATGATTGGTAAGCTTCGACATACGTAGAAACCGACGGTGAACACAAAGAGACGAACGATTTATGTTGGTTCAGGCCCTCGTGATCGAGTAATAGCCTTACGTCCAGTCGGCGTGTAGCCTTTTGTATTGGATTGATTGATATGATTGTGTCTACAAGGGGGTGCACCGTACCTCTCTTTATATAGGGGAGAGGGTAAGGGCACGTATCTAGTCCTAGCCGATTGCAATAGAAGAGTCCTAGTCCTATTACAGAATCTAGCTTTCTTGGTAAGCCGACTAAATTGATCTTGAATAGCTTGAAGACCACGCCACCTTGTCTCGTGTCCTTCAGCAGATCATGGGCCATCCCAGGGCCCATCCGCGTAGTAAACCCTATGGAAAACCCCTAGGACCCTGGTCCGTCAAGCCCCCGAGCGTGTCATGATTTCTTCTTCCTCCAGGTCTTACTGAGTAGAAACAAACGTTGTCCGAGTGCTTTCATAAGTGAAGCCATGGGGTGCTCTTGAAGTCTTCAAGTGCTGTTCACTTTTTAGAAAAACTGCACTCACTGAGTGTAGCCCCCGAGCCTCTTGCTGTTTGAAACAAAGAGTTAGAGGGTCTAAAAGAAAAAACATCCGTAGAGGATATGCATGTACCCTGCAGCCCCCGAGCCTATGACCGAGTACTTGTACTCGAGTCAAGGATCTTTTTAAAAAGAATATACTCGAGGATGCGAGTGTAAGCAATAATTGTAGTCCTGTCTGCATGTGAAAAACAGGTAAGACTTGTCAAAGTCACATGCAAAGTAGTTGAAGCTGGCTCAAAGATGTAAAGAATATTCGATCGAATATGCTATCAAAGATGCCACTGTTTGTACTGTTGCCTCACATGTGCTGAAATAAGGTTGTCCGGTGCACTGTAAAGGTGTAGTGGTGCGCACTGTACCCTTGTAATGCGGCATGTGAGCCTGTATCCAAGTCAGGAATTTGTCTGCGCCCTACCCCGTGAACATAGTCCATGTACACCACCGTGAAGCCTATAAAAACACGCCTGGCGAGCACTTAAACTTCAGTTATAGAAACGAAGAAGTAGCTCTGAGTTTGTAGCTTGCAAATATGGTGGTGAGCGAAGTAGACCAGCCCCCGGGAGTACTCGGCTTGCGTAACCAACAGTTGCAGTGACTAGAAGAATTCTTGTGATAGGGTTTCAAAGTAGGCTAGACCCGCAGTTGTGCACAGTAGAGTAGCCTGGAGCCGCAACTAGAAGAATCCTTGTGATGGCTGGTAGAGTGCCACATCCAGCAGTCCCATGTCAGTTCTTCGAGCGTGCTTGTCGATGTTTGTCCATGAAGGGTCGCACTCGGACCCGAATGTGTACAGATGGCGTTGGTTAGGTGGCAAGATGTGCCTAGAGCTCATCCTGCATACTAGCCAGCAGGCTGCCTCCTGCAGTAGCTATGCTCCCAAGGGTAGTCGGCCAACAAATGTTCGTAGTCCGACTGACTACCCAAGGTTCTATGCTTGGACACTCTACACTTTTGTTATCTACCTAGATGCACTACTCTTCCGTCCATGAAGCCAGGTGTGCCGGATTGGGAACACCTACAGAGAAGCACTTAGAGTATGAGTACTCTGTCATAGCCGAGTAGGCTTTGTACTTGTAATATTCTAAAAATTCTTGTATCCAATATATGTATTCGTGAATGAAAAAAACTTGAAGAAATCATCACTGTCTTGAATCCGCAATACCTTGTTATGTGAACACTGTGAAACCGCGTGACCATCAGACTAAAACGGCAACTTGTACTGACGGTGTGAAACCGCATAGTCTGGAAGCCAAAGGACCATCTATGCCGTGGCAGTAGGCCAGCAACGGCGTTGTATTAAGTCCACACTGTAGCGACGGAGAAGACGAAGGGTTTTAACCATACTTATAAATAACCCCTTGCGGTAACTGAGGGTGTCACCCCTTACACTCACGTCGCCGCCGCCAACATTCTCATCTTCCCTCACTCCACAAACCCTAGGCGCTGCTAGGTGAATGCGAGTGAAGAAATTAGTGAGGCGTGAGATGGTGAAGGTGAAGAAGGCCGGCGCCACCAATCCTGGCAAGAAGGGAAGCCATAAGTAGGCAGGTGGAGCGGATCCGTATGCTGCGGAAATGCAGATCTAGGAGGAGTCGACCGGGAGGGAGGCTGCTCTTGAGAAACTGCATAGTGATGGTCTGCTGCCAGAGAAACAACTTGGCGAGTGGAAAGCCCCCGGTAACCATCGTGTCCCTGTTCTTAATGAGGAGGAGATAGTGCTATTTACTCCTTTCGTAGAGCGAGGACTTGGATTACCCACGTCCAATTTCTTCCGCGAACTGCTATATTACTATGGCATTCGCATGAACCACCTGAACCCTAATTCCATCCTCCAATTGTCAATCTTCATTCATCTTTGTGAAGCTTTCCTTGGAATTCCTCCTTCTATCTGTCTTTTCCGCTATTTCTTCAAGTTGAAACTGCATCCAGACGCGGCCAACCCAGATGTAGTTGGTGGAGCAGGGTTCCAATTTAGGATATGCCGAAAAACTGAATTTTTGACCTATACTCTTCGTGATTCCAACAAGAACTGGAAAAGTTGTTTTACTCTGGTAATGTACTGCCATCCTTAGAATCCCATGTGTAGATACCCCTTGAGTCAATCCCTATTGGGAGCAAGAAAACATGAGTCTGAAAGAATTTGAGGCCCTCCACCCCCATATTAAGCAAATTGTCGTGCTGCGCCGGAATGGCTTGACTGGAGAGGGTGTAGAAGCTAGTTGGGTGCGACGCCGAGTCCAACCCTTACAGCAGAGGATGAACTACGGGTTCGAGTATGCTGGACCAGAAGACCCGACCCGAGTAACTAAAGAAGAACTATCAAATGCCGAGTTAATAGACCGTCTCCAACATATGTTTGCTCAGTTGAAAGTGCTGCCCCCCCCGCTCAGGATGAGTATGATGCTAGCCATCTGCCACCAGAAGTAAGTTGTCTTGTGATCAGTTGAATAGCCTTGTGTATATAAGACCGAGTAGAATAAATGATGTAACCTATTTCTGGTTGTAGCATCTTGGGAGGAATTTCATGTATCTCCCACCATTACCACCACCGCCACCGACTAGGGGCGCAGGCCCTAGTGCTCATAGCGGCGTCGTGCCATCACGAGTAAGGGGAGGAGAGGAGTCGGATGACTCCGAGGCCACCCTGACGGATTACCTGCTACACCGAAGGCAAGCTGACGAAGGCAAGCAGAAGAGGGCACAGAGTCCGAGTGTTGACTCGGAGGACACCATGCCCCTTCGGAGGAGGCCACGAGTAGCGACGCGAAAGCAGAGTGAAAATACCGCCCAACAACAAGGTAAGAGTCCTTTGAGCTTTTAGAGTGTTCTAGAAGAGTAGCAA